AGACTCACAGCAGAGCCATCTCCTATGTGGACTGCCTGACATAGATGTCTCTTTTTCTCATTTTTGGATCTATGGATGCTCTGCTTCTGACTGTGATTGCCTATGACCGATATGTGGCCATCTGTCACCCTCTGCATTACTTAGTCATCATGAACCCTCAACTCTGTGGCTTCTTAGTTCTTGTGTCTTTTTGGTTAGTCTTTTGGACTCCCAACTGCACAATTTGATCATCTTACAATTTACTAACTTCAAAGGTGTAGAAATTTCTATTTTCTTCTGTGACCCTTCTCAACTTCTTAACCTTGCCTGTCCTGACACCTTCTCTAATAACATCCTTAAGTATTTTCTTGGTGCCATATATGGTCTTTTCCCCATATCAGGGATCCTTTTCTCATACTGTAAAATAATTTCCTCCATTCTGAGGATCCCATCCTCAGGGGGGAGGTACAAAGCCTTCTGGACCTGTGGCTCTCACCTGGCAGTTGTTTGCTTGTTTTATGGGACAGACTTTGGAGCGTACCTTGGACCAGCTGTGTCACATTCTCCCAGAAAAGTTGTGGTGGCTTCAGTGTTGTACATTGAGGTCACCCCCATGTTGAATCCTTTCATCTACAGCCTGAGGAACAGAAACATTAAAAGTGTTCTGAGGAGGCTGCACAGCAGGACTGTCTAAACCCAGGACGTTTGGTGTCCAGCAGCAGGGTATTTTGGAAAATGTAGTGAAGTCAGACATCTAGTCCTTTCAATCTCATCTCCTTCAAAACATTAATGACTTTAATTTCTCATCACATTTCATATAAGAATGTCTGTAACCAGGATTGGTAAAGGAGGTCTGGGGAGTTTTCAAAATGGGAACAAAATATCACTTTGAGATGGTGAAAAATTTCTGGAGATGGATGATGATGATAGTTTGACAACCATGTCAATGTAATTAAGGCTGTTGTGCTGTGTACTTGAAAATGGTAAAAACTGTAATGGTTTTGAGATTTAAATTTACCACAGTTTATTTTTCTTGCCTAATTTCTCTAACAAATGTTTCAAGGATGGTATTGAATAGAGGTGATGGAAGTGTACATTTTTGCCTTGTTCTTGAATTTGTGAAGGAAGAATAAAGAAACATAAATCATGTGGAAGAAGTCTAATTGTCTATTTGCTGATGATGTAATCCTATTCTTAGAAGATCCTAAAAACTGCACCAATGGTTTCTTTTTCTTTTTTTGGTTTGCTTTAGTATATTGAATATCTTTCTAAAATAAACTATGAGAAAGCCATTCTAATTCAATGATTTCAAGAGATGCTGAAAGATTCAAGATTAACACCCATTATTAGCAATGTAAAACGGAGGGAAAGATCAGTGAATTATGCCCGTAAAATTCTGCCCCCATGGGAGAAGGGTGAAGCTGAAAGCCATCAATGGGAAAGATGAAGAAAGATGGGCTCTCAGATCAGGGGTTTCTGGCTAAAAGCTGTTTCTTGCTCATTGTGTCAATTTTTTTCTCCCAGCCCCCTCAGGCTGATTCTTTAGGCTAAGATGGTGGAGATGGTTTTTGCTGTAGTAGAGAAGAAAGTGGTAGGCTGAACCAGGGGTAGTGCTAAATAGCTTCCCGAGTCATGCTTGGCTCAGGCTTCTCCAGGGAAGATGGACAGAGGAGCTAGAAGTCCAGGTGGCAGGACACGCCTGGATAGCAAAGAGAGAGAGTCTGCAATGCCCATACAAGGGACAGCAGTCCAAACCCTATCTTGCACATGCAGATGGAATCTGACAAAGACTTGCCCTAAACTGTCTCCCCTGTGGGATTGACCTAGCCCTAGTAAGCCCTTGGTGGGCAGCGTGGGAGAGCGGGAGTCAGGGTAGCCCAGTGTTGGACAGGACACCATGGGAGACAGACCCCCATGTGTTTTCTGGCTCATCTCCATCTCTCAAAGGTTTTGGACATGCACACAGCTGGAGGAGATCTCCCTGGTGGAGAACTTTGGAAAGCTCCCTCTAGTGAGACAGGGCAGGGGTGGCAGGGTTGGGGTGGGGAGTGCCTTGAGAAAGCAGCTGAGGAAAGGTTTCTTGAGCTTATAAACATATTGAGCAATTCTGTAGTATACAACATCAGCACACAAAAACCAGGTGCTTTCTTACATGTCAATAATGAATATGTTGAGAAAGAAACCAAGAACACTGTTCCATTCACACTAGCCTCAAAAGATCTTCAGAATTAATTTAACAAAAGAGATGAAAGACCTCCTCAAAGAAAAGTATGGAAGGCTGGAAAAAGTAAGAGAGAAGACACCAGAAAATGTAAAGCCCTCCCATGTTCAGAGTTAGGAAAAATCAATAATGTTAAAATGGCCACGTTGCCAATCTACAGGAGTCAATGAAATACTCATCAAAATATAGTTCTGAGAAGAACTGGAAATAACAGTTCTACAATCTGTGTGGAAGAACAAGAGACTCAGAATAGCCAATGCAACTCAGATGCAGAATAACCAAAGCAGAGTAGAGCTGGAGGCATCACAATACTCAATATTGAAATACTGAAATCCTTCGGGATTTAGATAACACGGATCAATTTGTTTAATTATGAGCTTTTTGCATTGAACCTCCAAGGTCATATGAATGTCAATTATCAGTCTGTAGCCCTTCAGCTTGATCTATTTGATCCACTGCTCCATGATCATGTTTCTTCCTTCCATGGTTCTGCATCAGGAAGCTCCTATTTGAGACTGAATTGATAGCAATCTTAGGGACTGAGCAGGCACTCAATGGCCTCCAAGCAGGAGAGGGGTGTTCAATCTGTGTTCTTTAGTTATAACCCAGCAGAGATGCACCATACACTAGTGAATTCTGAAGTAGACATTGGATGGAGGAAGGTCCATTACAAATGTTTCCTCCTCCTCAGGTCAAACATCACACTTTGACTAGCTAAACTGGACAGTCAGGAAACTAGCTGTGCAGGTTAAAAATCTAAGTCAGGAAAACAGTTGTAAAAGCTTGAAACTCTTTGTTACTGGGATAATAATCCAGAGCCCAGAGCCCATTTGTTTGCCTTCCCCTCCAGGATACTGGGAAAGGAGGAAAGACCAGAGAGAGCACAAGGCACTTTGTTTGCCTTTTCTCTCCCAGGACCCTTTGTCCTCCCTCAGCCCTGGGGGTTGTCATTTCCCTTTTCTAGGGAAATGTAGTTTTTCATATTCTTCACTTATACATAGAATTAACCCTTTAAACACCCTGTTCCCACTGCTCAGGTCTACCTAGACCACCACCATGTTCCTTGGCATATAAATTTCCAATGATCTGTGCTATATTCAGAATTGAGTCCAGTTCTATACTGAGGTCTCTACTCCCCTACTGCAATTGTCCTAAATAAAATTTGTTCTGGGGTAGGGGTATAGCTTAGTGGTAGAACACTTGCCTAGCATGTACAACACATTGGTCCGATCCCTAGCATTGAAAAAAAAAATTTCTTTACTGCTTTGTAAGGGTGAAGCAGACCAGTTACCCCCATCCAAAAGACCATTGCCACAGTTAAGCTTTTTTCCTTGTCAGAAAGAATTTTACCAAGGGTGTCAATAGGATATCAGCAAAAATTTCTGTGGTTTGTAGCTTCCTCTTTCTTATAAATGCCAGGTTTGCAGACAAAATTTGTGAAACCTCTGTCTAGCCTAAAAATGTGGGACAAAGAGTAACTGTTATGTACCCACCCAGGGACATGTAACCACCCCACTGACTATAAGTCTAAAAGAATTTTCAGATTCAGGGTCCAAAGCTTTTTAGGCATTAGCTTCCTCTGGACTGCTGCAGCTAAAATAAACCTGATTTCTGGTGTCCAGCCACATCTGTCCTATATCAAGGAGACAGACAGATTTAGATGTAAGGTGTAAGGGGACAAATAGATGAAGATGGTGGGAACACAAGGTTCAGAGAATAATTCTATAAAATGAGTTCACTGTACTGATTCTCACATGCTTTCTTTGCTAAAAAGCAATCTGCCTTCAGCCCTACCTGGCCTCGGGGGACAGGAAAAACACATTCCTTGCTTTTTTTGGCTATACCTTTTGTTTCTTAATCTATTCTTTAGGTTTGGACAGGAGAGTCTGTTTTTTTACAGACATGACATCATAAATCAAGTTGGAGTAAACTATTATGAACTTAATAGTTTCATATACATTGTATAATATTTATCAAAACTACTGATAAAATGTCTTCACAAAGCAGATTCAAAACAGGACTTGATAAAAGCCACAAACTACAGCTAACATGGGAACCTTGGTGATTATTATTAACCAAGACAAGAATACCTTCTTTCTTATCTGACTTATAGTTAGGAGGCCCTGCACAAACAAGAAGAAAAATAAACGACTCATGAATATTATAATAACAAAAATGCACAGGAAACATTATTTATATTTAAGTCCAAAATAACGAACTTACAGATATTAAAGTTCAGCAAGGTTTCCAGACAGAAGGACCTAATTAAATACTTTTCAATAGCTTTCCTCTAGCAGAGCAATATCAATAAAACAATGAAAGGGAAAAGTAAAGACCTAAAGGACGGAATCAATGGAAAAGAGTTTATCCCACAGGTTGGTAGACTCAGAGTTTTAAGTATCATGGCCTGTGGACAGGGCTCTAGCAAGGGTATTAACGCATTTGATGAGCATGATACTCCCAGGCTTCGGTGAACCTGTGTGACAGGCTCTAACCTTAGCCCCGCCTCTAGGAACTTCCAGGGGTCTCGCTTGGCAACCAGGTCCCATCTTAGAACCAACCTCTGGACTATTAAAAGCCACGACCCTTGATCTGGTCTCACCTGAGTCCACTCGGCCGGCCTAGCCTGGTCCCTCCCCAGCCTCTTCCTCGGTTCTGGTTCTCTTTTTACCTACAAGCCCAGGGAAAATTAGCTCGTTCTGCGTGCTGATGGATTGAGCCCCGGCCCGCCCAGCTCCTGTAGCCCCGCCCCTTACGCAGAGCGTTTCTCAGAATGGGGAGGGGGTAGCGGGAGGCAGAAGAGCGCGTCTGCGCACGCGCTAGGTAGCTCACTGTGTGCGTGAGGCCGCCATGACACTTTAGGCTGCAGCTCGCGTGAGAGATATATTCTTGCCTCAGTCCGCATCCTATCCGTCCCAGCCCCGCGCCATCCAGGTATGGTCCCCGGGAGGCGGAAGGCTGGTTTCTTCCCTTCCGCCGCAGCATCCTATCCGTCCCGGCCCCGCGCCATCCAGGTATGAGCCGCGGGAGGCGGAAGGCTGGCTTCCGCTCGTTCGCCTTCCCCGGGCCCCCTTCAACCGCGCGGCCCAGAGTCCGGTCGGCTCCGCCGGCGCCGAGCTCGTCCCGGTGACCGCATCGGGGACTCCGGGCTTCGCCAGCGGCGGGCGCGTCTCCTGCCGGCCGGAGCTGGAGAGCCCCGCGACCTCTCCCTGCGGAGAGCAGAGGCCTCGCCTGCGTCCGGGTCCCGGTCCGGAGCTTCGTGCGGGTCTGCTGGTCTGCACACACCCAGCGTGGGGTGAGCTCGGCCGGCTGCCCCTGGGCCTCGCTCACTGTCTAGCGCGGGTCTGAGAGTTCCCCGGGGGCCTGGGGCATGTTTGACACATTGCATTCAGGTACACAAGAGGGAGCTGATTTTAAAATACTTTTAACCCGCCTCCTGGGCAAGTGCATTTCATCCTTAATAAAGTGATACATTTTAGCCTGGCGCGGTGGTGTACGCCTGTAATCCCAGCTACTTGGTTCTGAGGTAGAACTTGATCCCAAGTTCAAGGGCAGCCTGAGCAATTTAGGCAGGCCCTATCTCTACACAAAAAATTAGAAGGACCAGGGGTGTACTTCAGTGGTAGAGTGCCCTTGGGTTCAATCCCTAGTACTGCAAAATGCAGGGAGGAAAAAAAAGAAACAAAAGCTTGGTCACTTATTTATAGATTCTTTCAATTTTGCACAGAAAATGTGCCAGTTTGAATTTTTTTCCTCCTAAATCTTTGTGTTTTCCATTTTTTTTTTTTGTTTGTTTCTAATTACTGCACTTGCCAGGACGTCCAGCTGAATGGAGATTAGCATATAATTTTCATTCTTGCCTTGTTCCTGATTTCAGAGAAAATTAATCAGTATTTCACTATTAAATAGAATGTTTGTATTTTTTAACCTATAAAATCTAATCCTTTCTAATGGCCTAAGTTATTATTAGCAATGTACACTGAAATAGATTAGTCATTGCTTTGTGTCTAAGGGAATATGTCAAATAACCTTTCTATGAATACTGTGAATTTCATTAATCAGTGATTCAATTTTTGTTTATTTTATTCTTGTGGTGCAAGGATTGAATCCAAGGACTCAACACTAGTAAGGCACCGTACCACTGAGTCCCAGTGATTCAGTTTTATTCTTTTTTTTTTTTTTTTTTTTTTTGGGTGATTCAGTTTTTAAGCATCCATCATTCCTAGGATGAAATGAACTTAAATTGTGATTTATACTTATTGTTCATTTCTCAACTCTTACCAATACTTTTGTGTTATTTGTAGTTTGTTTGTGATCTGGCATATTTTTTAGTTGTACCCTTCTGGTGTTGAAAGTAGGAAATTACCTTCCCTCTGTACACTGGAATTATGAATTTCCCACTTATTTTGTGAAACTTTCTGTAAAACAATTTGCAACTTCTGTTTCCTTGTGCATGTTTTAAATATGATTCTTTTAATAACTGGATACAATGAAATTTTCTTCTTCCTCCTCCCCCTCTTCTACCACTACCATCAACACCCACCACCACCACCACTTCCACCACCTCCACTACTTCTTCCTTTTCCTCTTTCTCATCTCTTCTAGATTCTACCTCTTGTAGTTCCTGTTACCTCCCAGTAGTCCATTCAAACTGTTAATCCATAAAATGGATTAATCCACTGATGAAGTCAGACCCCTTATAATCCAATCGCTTCCCCCAAGCCCAAACTCTGAACACTGCAGCACTGGAGACCAAGCCTTCAACACAGGAGGCTTTGAAAGACATCCCAGATTCAAACCATAACAAATAGGTTGATTCTCTTTCTCAGAAATTAGGTTTTGTGGTGCCCATTGGGTGGGGTTGGGATGACAGCAGTGTTCAGGGGTTTGTAGTAATGCCTATTATCCTGTAAAATGGTAAACAAGTAAAAATATTGGTCAAGGAGCCCCAAGAAGCCTAGTGTTTAAATAAATTAGTGGTTTCTTAGATATGAATCAGGGAATATATATTCTTAGGGTTGAAGGCACCACTTGATACATTTTATGCTTTTTGTTATGGGGAAATGAACAGCGAGATGTTCTTAGGACTTGAGTTAATTTACTAACAAAATGTTACTATTAACCTCTTTTGTATCATTGACAAGGGTAAGAGTGTTTTTTGTATCTCTAGGGGAGAAAGCATTGTTTCAGTCATACAAGTTCAGTTTGTATTTACTTGGGAGTCATGGTATGTGTTTTGAGTTGTCACTGGTAATTGATGTGCTACAATATCCAGGCTCATGAGTATGGGAATTCTCTGGAGGGTTGGATTCCCATGTCAGCTTCTGTCTTACCTATAACTTCTCAGTGTCTTACTTTTCTTTATGAAGGTGACATGGAGGAAGAAAGAATAAGTGTTGGATTACAGAAGAGTATGATGCAGGTAAGTAAAAGGTATAATGCTCTAAAAGAATATTTCTATTTCATTTGATATCCTGCTGCTATTTTAGAGCACAGGTTAGCAATCTGCTTCTTTTTTTTGGATCACATGGTAAGTATTTTAGGTTTTGAAGGTCATAGAATTTCTGTTACAAGGAAATTGTCATTTTAATACAAAAAATATTCATAGAGGAACATAAACAAATGTTTTATTGTATTGCAATAAAACTTTACTTTAAGTAGGTGATAGGCTAGAGTAAGTGCATGTGCTATAGTTTGGTGAGCCCAGGCCACAATACTATAAAACCGAGCCAGCTGTGGGCCTGAGTTGAAAGATGTGCAGGCTCTTGGGCCTCTCAGGATTGTGAGGGGGGAAAAAGGAAAAGTTCCCATTCACTCTTTGTGTTTTCATTCATTAAAACCTCATCAAGATTTAAACCTGAGTTTGATGTTGTGCTCAATGCCTTAATAGGAAAAAAGTAGCAGGTGAAGTTATTCTTGAATAAGGAAGAATTTATGAATATAGAATAATATGATATTGTCCAATATGTGGTCTTGGTCCCATATCCTGGCATAGAGTTCCTAAAACCCTTCAAATGTCTGGACTGATAAGAGTAGCTTTGTATGATGACTGGTGACCAGGACAGATAGCCTCAGGATGACTGCTGGTCCAGAAGAACTAAGGTATGCTTGACTCTTCAGCCCTATCCACTAACCTTGAAGTTGAGAGGTACTGAAGGTTAAATTGTTTATTTAAATTGCTAATTTAAATCAGCCATGCTTTCTAGTAAAGCCTCTGTGAGAACCCAAAAAGAATGAATTTAGGGAGCTTCTGTATAGCTGAATATGTAGAGGTTCCTGGTACGAGGCACCCCAATAGGCATGGAAGTTCTGCAGCTTTTCCTACCCTGCTATGCCATATATATTTCTTTATCTGGATAGTTCTCTGTATTTATAAGAAACCATAAGCACAAGGAAGTGTTTGCTTAGATTCTGTAAGCCATCCCAGCATATTAGCCAACTCAAGGAGGGTACAGTGGGGACCCTGAGATGTAGCCATTTGGTCAGAAGTATAAATGACAATGTACTAGTTGTTATGTTGCTTGAAGTATGGGGAAGTTTTGTGGGACTGAGCCCTCAACCTGTGGGATGAAGCTGTCCATGTAGATAGTGTAAGAATGTTATTGAATAACAGGAAACCTAGCTAGTGTCTGTTGGAGAACTGCTTGATGTTTGTGGAAAATTACCCACATACCTAATATCCAGTGTTCTGTGCAGGTTCGAAGGAAAATAACTTTGATTTTTTTTTTTTTTTTCTTATTTCATTACCATCAACTGCAAAGAGACTTATGTAGTATTTTAGAAGTATTTTGGCTTTTAGACAGGATTTGTTCAGTCTCTAAGTATGTGTGAGTAGAAAGGGAAAGAGATCTGCTGACCGAGTCCTCAGATAGACTTGGGGAGACCACAGAATCTTCTGAACCTCCCCTGAATTGATTCTCAGGTCCCCAGTGCTGTCAGCCTCACCCATCATCTCGCACACACTGGAGGAATTGTACCTTTCTGAAGAGAATTTGTGGCATCTTTTAGGACTCGGTGACCTTTGAGGATGTGGCTGTGGACTTTACCCAGCAGGAGTGGGCTTTGCTGGATCTTGCTCAGAGGAGCCTCTACAGAGATGTGATGCTGGAAACCTTCCAGAACCTGGTCTCACTAGGTAAGACTGGCAATGTTGGTTCATGTAGTGGTTTAGAAAACAATTTTATCTACTAGTTGACCTTGTCCAGGATTTGTGCTGAGGAGTGGGAGTACTTAGTAAATAAGACAAACGTGGTCACTGACCACAGGGTGCTTACGATCTGGAGGCTTCTTCATGAAAATGAACACGGGCATATTAAACTTGTTTTTTTCTTTTTCTTTTTGTGGTTGAAAGCCTTGAGACTTATTAAGTATTGAATGTGTGGGCATTGAGGGGCTTCTCTGGGGCACAGGGAGAGTTTGTGATTTGAGACCTTTGAAGATTCTACTGCTGTGAATGCCCTTTAACAGAGACCACCAGGAGTACACCTGTAAGTTAAACAAGCGGGTTTATTTTGAAGTCATGGGAGAACATACCCATTGGGAGTCGAGGGGCGCCTTAGTAAGAGGGCGTTAGAAAGTACCTATTCGAGAATTTGTGCTTTTTGGATGATTTAGAGATGAGTCTATGGGGTAGATTATATTGGTTACTTAGGCTCTCTATGAACAAGTACCATAAACTGGTGGGTAAAAGTATAGAAATTTTTATTCTTTCATGTTTCTGGCATCTTGGAGTTTGAAACCAGGTGTCAGCACAGCTATATTCTTTCTAAAGGCTCAAAGGAAAAAGTCCCTCCCTGTCTCTTTCTAGCTTCTGGTGGTTGCTGGCAGACCTTTTTGTTTATAGATGTATCACTCCAGTCTCTGTCTCCACCATTACCTTCCCTGTGTACCTGTTTCTAATCTCTGTCCATATAGGGACATCAGTCATTGGATTTAGGGTCCATCTTAATCCAGAATAACCTCATCTTAACTTTAGTATATTGACAAAGACCTTTTTTCCATATAAGGCAACATTCTGAATATGGGTGAACATTTTCAAAATAGGCTTTAAAAAAATGTATGTGTGTATGTACATTTGTACGTCTGCACATATGTATGTATATATGTGTGTGTTTATGTGGTACTGAGAATTTAACCTAGGGGCTCTCTACCACTGAGCGAAATCCCCAGCTCTTTTTTATTTTGTGAAAAGGTCTTGCTAAGTTGCCCAAGTTGGCTTCAAATTTGGGATCTTCCTGCCTCAGCCTCCTGAATAACTGGAGTTATAGGTGTGCACCACCATGCCCCAGAGTAACAGGCTTTAATTTTTAGAGCAGTTTCAGTTTGAAAGCAAAATTAAGTGGAAGGTAGAGAGGTTTCTAAAAACTACTGTCCTCACAACACAGACAGCCTCTTTCACTATGAACATCTTCCACCAGAATGGTCCATGTTTAGTTTACAAATGATGAATGTACATTGACACATCTTCATCATTTACTAGAGTCCATAGCCTATATTAAGGTTCATTTGTGGTGTTGTACATTGTATGGCTTTGGGCAAATGTACAATGACATGTACCATCATAGTAATATGTAGAGTAGTTTTATTCCCCTAAAAATTTTCTGTGCTTTCACTTTTTAATCCCTTACTCTCTCTTAACCCTTTGGCAGCCACTGGTCTTTATATCATCTGTATATTTTTTTATCTTTTGTGGAATGTCATAAAGTTGGAATTTATATAGTATGTAGCTTGTTCAGATTGGCCTATTTCACTCGGTAATGTGCATTTAAGTTTCGTTCATGTCTTTTTATGATTTTTCTTTTACTGTTGAATAACATTATGTAGTATAGATGTGCCATAGTTTATTTATCATCCCGTTTACTAAAGGGCATCTTGGATGCTTTCAGGTTTTGACAAGTATGAATTATGCTCTCATAAACATGTGTAGCCCTTTGTGTGCAGTTTTGACTCCTTGGATGAATGCCAAGGGACACAATTTAATTGCTGGATCATATGGTAAGAAGAGGTTTTTTTTTTTAGTATTTATTTTTTAGATGGACACAATATCTTTATTTATTTATTTTTATGTGGTGCTGAGTATTGAACCCAGCGCCTCACATGTGCTTGGCGAGCGCTAGCCCCAGCCCCATGGTAAGCGTATTTTTAATTTTATGAGAAACCACCAGATTGTCTTCATAAGTAGCTGTATCATTTTGCATTCCAATTTGGAATGAATCAGAGTTCCAGTTTCTCTACATTTTTGCCCATATTCGGCATTGTCAATTTTCTGGATTTTGGCTGTTCAAAAAGGCGTGTAGAGGTGTGTCACTGTTTTGTTTTTCCTGGGTGATTTTAGGATGTGGAGCGTACTTTTACTTTTTTACTTGCCATTTGTCTGTATATGTTTAAGTGTTTGTTTAGGTCTTTGGCTATATTTTTATGGTATTTTTTTGTTCTCTTATTATTGATCTTTAAGATTTCTTTGTATAACGCAGCCAAAGAAATGATAAAGTGCGAAGAGACAGCCTTCAGGATGAGAGAAAATCTTTTCCACCTACTCCTCTGTCAGGGGATTAACATCCAGAATATACAAGGAACAAAAAAATTCAACAGCAGAACAAAACAAACAAACAAACAAACAAAAATCCCAAAGCAAACAAAAACCAATTAACCCAGTCAAGAAATGGGCAAAAGGGACTAAACAGATTTTTCAAAAGAAGAAATGTGGGCTGGGATTGTGGTTCAGCGGTAGAGAGCTCACCTAGCACGTGCGAGGCCCTGGTTTGGATCCTCAGCACCACGTAAAGATAAATAAATAAAATAAATATATTAAAAAAAAAGATTATTTGTTAAAAAAAAAAGAAGAAATGCAAATTGTTGATTGATTGTATTTCTTCTGTGAAGTGTCTATTCAGTTCCTTAGCCCATTTATTGATTGGGTTATTTGTTTTTTTGGTGTCAAGTTTTTTGAGTTCCTTATATATTGTAGAGATTAATGCTTTATTGGAGTTGCATGTGGTAAAATTTTTTTCCCAATCTGTAGGCTCTCTCTTCACGTTATTAATTGTTTCCGTTGAGAGAAGAAGCTTTTAAATTTGAATCCATCCCATTTATTGATTATTTTGAGTTTGCTTCTTGCATTTTAGGAGTCTTGTTAAGGAAGTTAGTTCCTAATCCAATGTGGTGAATATTTGGGCCTATTTTTTTCTTCTATTAGGCATAGGGTCTCTGTTCTAGTGCCTAAGTTTTTTGTATCTACTTTGAGTTGATTTTTTGTGCAGGGTGAGAGATAAGAGGTTTAATTTCATTTTGCTACATATGGATTTCCAGTGTTTGCCGTACCATTTGTTGAATAGGCTATCTTTTCCCCAGTGATTGTTTTTGGCATTCTTGTCTAGTAGGAGATAACTGTATTTATGTGGGTTTGTGTCTGTGTCCTCTATTCTGTATCATTGGTTGATTCAAGTCTATTTTGGTGCCAATACCCTGCTGTTTTTTGTTACTATAGCTGTGTAGTATAGTTTAAGATCTGGTATTGTGATGCCACCTGCTTCATTTTTCTTGCTAATGATTGCTTTAGCTATTCTGGATCTCTTATTTTTCCAAATAAATTTCATGATTGCTTTTTCTATTTCTATGAAGAATGTCATTGGGATTTTAATAGGAATTGCATTGAATCTGAATAATGCTTTTGGTAGTAAGGCCATTTTGACAATATTAATTCTGCGTGTCTAGGAGCATGGGAGATCTTTTCATCTGCTGAAATTTTCTTCAATTTCTTTCTTTAGTGTTCTATGACTTTCATGGTAGAGGTCTTTTGTTAGATTGATTCCCAGTTTTTTTTTTTTTTTTTTTTTTGGGGGGGGGGGGTATTGTGAATAGGTTAATTTTCCTAATTTCTCTTTCAGTGGATTCATTGATGATGTATAGGAATGTGTTTGACTTATGGTTGTTGATTTTATATCCTGCTACTTTGCTGAATTCACTTATTCTAGAATTTTTCTAGTAAATTTCTTTGATCTTCTAGATATAGAATCATGCCATCAACAAATAGTGATAGTTCTTCTTTATCTATTTGTATTTCTTTAATTTCTTTCTTTTATCTAATTGCTCTGGCTAGAGTTTCAAGGATGATGTTGAATAGAAGTGGTGAAAGAGGACATCCTTGTCTTGCTCCAGTTTTTAGTGGGAATGCTTTCACTTTTTCTCCATTTAGAATGATGTTGGCCTTGGGTTTAGCATATATAGCTTTTACAATGTCGACATATGTTCCTACTACCTCTAGTTTTTCTAGTGTTTTGAGCATGAAAGTGTGCTATATTTTGTCAAATGGTTTTTCTGCATCTATTGAGATGATCATATGATTCTTGTTTTTAAGTATATTAATATAACGAATTACATTTATGGATTTCCGTATATGGAACAAATCTTGCATCTCTCGGATGAATCCCACTTGATCGTGGTGCACTATCTTTTAAATATGTTTTTGTATGTGATTTGCCAGAATTTTATTGAGAACTTTTGCATCTATGTTCGTCAGGGATATTGGTCTGAAATTTTCTTTGTCTTTGTCTGGTTTTGGTATCAGAGTGATATTGGCCTCATAGAATGAGTTTGGAAGGGTTCCCTCCTTATCTATTTCATGGAATACTTTGAAGAGTATTAGTACTCATTCTTCTTTGAAAGTCTTGTAGAACTCAGCTGAGTGTCCATCTGGTCTGGGCTTTTCTTGGTTAGTAGGCTTTTGATGGTGTTTTCTGTTTTATTACTTGAAAATTGATCTATTTAAAGCATGTATGACCTCATCATTCAGTTTGGGTAGGTCACATATCGTTAGAAGTTTGTTGATATCTTTAATATCTTCTATTTTATTAGAGTATAAATTTTCAAAATAGTTTGTAATTATCTTCTGTATTTCAGATGTGTCCATTGTGATATTCCTTCTTCATCCTGTATTTTAGTAATTTGGAGTTTTCTCTTTGTTAGCATGGCCAGGGGTTTATCTATTTTATTTATTTTTTTAAAGAACCAACTTTATGTTTTGTCAGTTTTTCCAATTGTTTCAATTTCATTAATTTCAGCTCTGATTTTAATTATTTCCTGTCTTCTACTGCTTTTGGTGTTGATTCATTTTTCTTTTCCTAGGGCTTTGAGATGTAGTGTTAGGTGATTTATTTGTTGACTTTTCATTCTTTTAATGAATGTGCTTGATGCATTGAACTTTCCTCTGAGTAGTGACTTCATAGTGTTACAGAGATTTTGATATGATTATCAGTGTTCTCATTTACTTCTAATAATTTTTTTATTTCATTCTTGATTTCTTCTACTATACATCATCATTCAATTGTGTATTATTTAGTCTCCATTTATTACTTCTATTTTTATTTTATTGTTGATTTCTAATTTCATTCCATGTGGTCTAATAGAATGCAAGATATTATCTCTTTTTTTTTTTTTGTATTTACTAAGATTTGCTTTGTGGCATAAGCTATAGTCTGTTTTAGAGAATAAGCCATATGCTGCTGAGAAGAAAGTATATTAGCTTGTTGATGGATGAAATATTCTACATATGTCTGTTAAGTCTAAGTTATTGATTGTATTATTTAGTTCTATAGTTTCCTTATTTAGTTTTTGTTTTGGACGATCTGTCCCATAGTGAGGGAGGTATGTTAAGGTCACCCATATTACTGTATTGTGGTCTATTTGACTCTTTAAATTGAGAAGCATTTGTTTGATGTACATAGATGCTCCATTGTTTGGGGCATGAATATTTGTAATTGTTATATCCTTCTTATATATACTTTCCTTAAGAGGTATGAAATGTTCTCTTAAGGGAAGTATATGTAATCTCTTCTGATTAACTTTGGTTTGATGTCTACTTATCTGAGATGAGAATGGAAACCTCTGCTTTTTTATACAATCCATTTGAGTGATAAGGTTTTCCCCCATCCTTTTACCTTCAGCCTGTGGATGTCTTTGCTCATGAGGTGAGTCTCTTGAAGACAGCATATTGTTGGGTCTTGCTTTTTAATAAAATCTGCCAGTCTATGTCTTTTGATAGATGAGTTTAGGCCATTAACATTCGAGGTTATTATTGTGATCTGATTTTGTATTCCCTATCATTTTGATTTTTTTCTGGTTTTTGATTTGTCTTAGATTCTCATTTGGTTGAGTGTTGTTTTAGTGTAGATCCTCCCTTTGCTGGTTTTCACTTTTTTTTTCCCCACTTCATCCTCATGGAATATTTTGTTGAGAATGTGCTGTAATATAGACTTTCTAATTGTGAATTCTTTTAATTTTTGTTTAGTATAGAATGTTTTAATTTCATCTTCAAATCTGAAACTTAATTTTGCTGTATTTAAAATTATTGGTTGGCATCCATTTTCTTTCATAGCTTGAAATATATTATTCCAGGACCTTCTAGCTTTGAGGTTCTGGGCTGAAAAATCAGTTGAGATCTGAATTGGTTTCCCTCTATATGTAATTTGATTTTTTTCTCTCATGCCTTTAAGATTTTATCTTTATTCTCTGTGTTAGTCATTCTAGTATAATGTGTCTTGGTTTGGGTCTGCTGTAATTTTGTACATTTGGGGGTCCTACAAGCCTCTTGTATTTGATTTTTCCGTTCCATTCTTTAGATTGGGGAAATTTTTCACTATTATATCATTTAAACATTATGCATTCCTTTGGTTTGTATCTCTGCTCCTTCATCTATTCCAATTACTCTTAAATCTGATCTTTTCATGTTATCCCATAATTCTTGGATGTTCTGTTCATGGTTTCTTACCATCTTCTCTTCATGGGCAACTCTACTTTTAAGATTATATATTTTTTCTTCATTGTCTGCGGTTCTGTCTTCCAAGTGATCTACTCTGTTTGTGATGCTTTTTATTGAATTTATAATTTGGTTTACTGATTCCTTCATTTTAAGGATTTCTGCTTTTTTTTTTTTTCATGATCTCTAACTCTTTATTGAAGTAGTCTTTCATTTCCTGTATGTTGTTTGATTTCACTCCTCATACTGCCCTTTATTTCACATATCAGTTTAACTATATGCAATCTGAACTCCTTCTTGGACATTTTTTTTTTTACTGTGTTATCAGCGGCTTCTGTTGTTGAAGCATCTTGGTTTGTTTGGGGCTCTTTATTTCCTTGTTTTTTTCATGTTGTTAGTGTGTTTTCCCATCTAGAAGTATGGATCTAAGGCAGCATAAAATCTACCCTGTAGACTTATAGTGTCTAGGTGTCTGAAGGTTTCCAAAGCCTCACCTTTAATAGTGAGACCAATATCAATATTACTCAGCATATAATATGTAGCCTTAAACCTAATAGTTCCCACTAAGGCAACTACTGCTTTCTGGCATTAAACCAAAATGATGAATTTAATAACTATCTATAGTATAAACAGAAATTTTGTTAAAATGGTTTACAATTTCAAAGGGTGGATGAGAGAACAGAGTAGTGTAGTATGTAATATTTGTGAGGGAGGAAGAGAGAAACTAGAAGTAAAAATTCACAAGAAGAGTGGAAGAGGAGCCAACAGAGATTGGCTGTTGATTGGAGAGAAGTTGGAAAAAAAATAGCATAAAAAGCATCCTGTTCCAAATATGGTAGAGAGATTAGTGAATCAAAAAATAAAATAAATCTTGCTGGAAAGTCAAACTGTCTCTGTCAGTGTTCAACAGTTTCTCAGCTCTGACTGTGACGTCTCTCGGGATCACCAAACCCAGATCAGCCCTTGCAAACCTATTCTCTAGCCTACAAACCTGGGTTTCAAATACCTCAGGCTCTGCCATTTGTAGTCCCAAGATCTCAGTGCTGCTCCTACTTGCAGTGAGACCACCAGGAATACACTCATGCAAACAAGCAACAGCAAGAGATGCAGCAGCAATACCCAGGCCACTAGCACTCTCAGCAGGAAGACCCCAGGGTCCTCCACACCCACAGGTACCCCAACACTGGACCTACAGGTCCTGATTGGAGTCCCCAGAGGGCCTTGTGGTGGTAAACCTGCTGGCACCCAGGTCCCAGGCCCTGGCTGGTATCCTAAAATGGGTGCCGCCACATGCAACCAAACCTGGAATCTCCCCTGCAGCAGTCCTCTAGGCTGTGGTAGCAGCAGTAGTGGCGGCTGCATTGGCAGTTACAACTGCAGCTGTGGGGGCAACGTCACCAGGTGATCTCCAGGGGTCAGCAGCAGTGTGGGCTTCAGTGCATCCATAGTTTTTTCTGTGGCAGCAGCACCCAGAAAGAACACCTCCAGGTGATCTCAGTCTAGCAGTAGGGAAATCAGAGGCAACAGCAGTGGTGGTGGTGGTGCAGGTGGAGGTTGAATAACAGACTTCTGGTTCAGCGGCAGCAACCATGGAGTTAGCATCAGAATCAAGTCAGGGATAACCAAGCAGTTTCCAGAAAAGAGACCTCTGGGCACAACATTGGCTTCTGTAGCAGCCCAGAAAGAAGACCTCCAGGTGACCTCAGGCTGGCAGCAGTAGAATCAGAGGCAGCAGCATTTGACACATGGGTTTTTATTCTGTCATAAAGAAGAATGAAATTATGGCATTTGCTGGTAAATGGATGGAAATGGAAAATATCATGTTAAGTGAAATAACCCATATTCAGAAAGCCAAGCGTCCAATGTTTTCTCTTGTGTATGGAAGCTTGAGCAAAATAAGAGGGAAACAGGCAGAGGGAGCCCATGAAAATCAAAAGGGTAGGATAGGTAGGGGGCAGATGGGAAGGAAGCAGGAAGAGGTAAAGAGGGGACTGCAAAGTGCACCTGGCCAAATCGTGCTGTGCACATATAGGAATATACCACAGTGACTTTAACTATTGTGTGTATCTATAA